GGAAGATTTAAACACCCAGTTTAGTGACGGTAAATGTCATCCAATCATGTAAAAATGCTGAGATGTTTTACAGCCGTGGCCATCCACACTGATCAAACATAAGGGGTTATCTAATAAAGCGAGAATTCTAAGTGAATTTCAACTAAAGGTGGCAATAGATGGAAAAAAAACATTCTCGAAGTTTGCCATGCCTTCAGTTTGACTACTCTGTCTTAAAATATAAAATTAATTTAAAATTCACTTTGAATTCTCACTTTTGTAAATATCCAACCAAGAGACTGAATGATGGCAATCAACCTGGGTGATGCCTGCTATTACGTTCAAACATTTTACTGACACCAAAAGCTTCTAATATTTGCTGTACCGCTATGTTTCCAGCTCAGGATCACCCTCTTTGGCCTCAGTACAGCTCTCAAGACTTTCTCAGAAGTTTCTGTAGCAAGCACAATACATGTCCATTATGTGAAGTTTCTGTTTTTTATTATCAATCCTGGAGGCAACTTACACCTTCCTCATTGCAATGACAACATTTTCTATCTTTTGCCTCATAAATTCCATTAATAGTCAACGTCTTCCTCACAAAGCAGTCAGTTATCCATTTATTAATGCCCCACCATCAGAGTCTGTTCTTGCCAAAGATCCATAGAAACATAAAGTGTCTTCTGCTGGTTTGAGAAGCTAAGGACCAGCTCGGGTCCAGGAGGAAAGGGATGACTAAATATTGTCTCTGTCCTTTTTACTTTTCTAAATGATAAAGAGAATCTCTGACATGGATTTTAGCCATAACAAAATGAGATATATATATTATAAATGGTATTTCGTTTCTTGCTGTATGATAAAACATTATTTATTACACTAGATTTATTCACAAAACCATGAATTGCTAGAAATGGGCTCTATCTCTCTTACTGATACAGGGCATGAAATGGGCTCTATCTCTCTTACTGATACAGGGCACGAAATGGGCGCTAGCTCTCTTACTGATACAGGGCATGAAATGGGCTCTATCTCTCTTACTGATACAGGGCAAGAAATGAGCTATATCTCTCTTACTGATACAGGGCATGAAATGGGCTCTATCTCTCTTACTGATACAGGGCAAGAAATGGGCGCTAGCTCTCTTACTGATACAGGGCATGAAATGGGCTCTATCTCTCTTACTGATACAGGGCAAGAAATGAGCTATATCTCTCTTACTGATACAGGGCATGAAATGGGCTCTATCTCTCTTACTTATACTGGGCATGAAATGGGCTCTATCACTCTTACTGATACAGGGCATGAAATGGGCTCTATCTCTCTTACTGATACAGGGCAAGAAATGGGCGCTAGCTCTCTTACTGATACAGGGCATGAAATGGGCTCTATCTCTCTTACTGATACAGGGCAAGAAATGAGCTATATCTCTCTTACTGATACAGGGCATGAAATGGGCTCTATCTCTCTTACTGATACAGGGCAAGAAATGGGCGCTAGCTCTCTTACTGATACAGGGCATGAAATCTGATACAGGGCATGAAATGGGCTCTATCTCTCTTACTGATACAGCGCATGAAATGGGCGCTAGCTCTCTTACTGATACAGGGCATGAAATGGGCTCTATCTCTCTTACTGATACAGGGCAAGAAATGGGCTATATCTCTCTTACTGATACAGGGCATGAAATGGGCTCTATCTCTCTTACTGATACAGGGCAAGAAATGGGCGCTAGCTCTCTTACTGATACAGGGCATGAAATGGGCTCTATCTCTCTTACTGATACAGGGCAAGAAATGAGCTATATCTCTCTTACTGATACAGGGCATGAAATGGGCTCTATCTCTCTTACTTATACTGGGCATGAAATGGGCTCTATCACTCTTACTGATACAGGGCATGAAATGGGCTCTATCTCTCTTACTGATACAGGGCAAGAAATGGGCGCTAGCTCTCTTACTGATACAGGGCATGAAATGGGCTCTATCTCTCTTACTGATACAGGGCAAGAAATGAGCTATATCTCTCTTACTGATACAGGGCATGAAATGGGCTCTATCTCTCTTACTGATACAGGGCAAGAAATGGGCGCTAGCTCTCTTACTGATACAGGGCATGAAATGGGCTCTATCTCTCTTACTGATACAGGGCAAGAAATGAGCTATATCTCTCTTACTGATACAGGGCATGAAATGGGCTCTATCTCTCTTACTTATACTGGGCATGAAATGGGCTCTATCACTCTTACTGATACAGGGCATGAAATGGGCGCTAGCTCTCTTATTAATCCAGGGCCTTTAAATGGGCTCTATCTCTCTTACTGATACAGGGCATGAAATGGGTGCTAGCTCTCTTACTGATACAGGGCATGAAATGGGTGCTAGCTCTCTTACTGATACAGGGCATGAAATTGGCTCTATCTCTCTTACTGATACAGGGCATGCAATGTGCTCTATCTCTCTTACTGATACAGGGCATGCAATGTGCTCTATCTTGCTTACTGATACAGGGCATGAAATGGGCTCTAGCACTTACTGATACAGGGCATGAAATGGGCTCTATCTCTCTTACTGATACAGGGCAAGAAATGGTCTCTATCTTTCTTATGATACAGCGCATTAAATGGGCTCTATCTCGCTTACTGATACAGGGCATGAAATGGGCTCCATCTCTCTTACTGATACAGAGCATGAAATGGGCTCTATCTCTCTTACTGATACAGGGCATGAAATGGGCTCTATCTCTCTTACTGATACAGGGCATGAAATGGGCTCTATCTCTCTTACTGATACAGGGCATGAAATGGGCTCTATCTCCCTTACTGATACAGGGCATGAAATGGGCTCTATCTCTCTTACTGATACAGAGCATGACATGGGCTCTATCTCTCTTACTGATACAGGGCATGAAATGGGCTCTAGCTCTCTTACTGATACAGGGCATGAAATGGGCTCTATCTCTCTTACTGATACAGGGCATGAAATGGGCTCTATCTCCCTTACTGATACAGGGCATGAAATGGGCTCTATCTCTCTTACTGATACAGAGCATGACATGGGCTCTATCTCTCTTACTGATACAGGGCATGAAATGGGCTCTAGCTCTCTTACTGATACAGGGCATGAAATGGGCGCTAGCTCTCTTACTGATAAAGGGCAAGAAATGAGCTCTATCTCTCTTACTGATACAGGGCATGAAATGGGCTCTATCTCTCTTACTGATACAGGGCATGAAATGGGCTCTAGCTCTCTTACTGATACAGGGCAAGAAATGAGCTCTATCTCTCTTATGATACAGCGCATTAAATGGGCTCTATCTCGCTTACTGATACAGGGCATGAAATGGGCTCCATCTCTCTTACTGATACAGAGCATGAAATGGGCTCTATCTCTCTTACTGATACAGGGCATGAAATGGGCTCTATCTCTCTTACTGATACAGGGCATGAAATGGGCTCTATCTCTCTTACTGATACAGGGCATGAAATGGGCTCTATCTCCCTTACTGATACAGGGCATGAAATGGGCTCTATCTCTCTTACTGATACAGAGCATGACATGGGCTCTATCTCTCTTACTGATACAGGGCATGAAATGGGCTCTAGCTCTCTTACTGATACAGGGCATGAAATGGGCGCTAGCTCTCTTACTGATACAGGGCAAGAAATGAGCTCTATCTCTCTTACTGATACAGGGCATGAAATGGGCTCTATCTCTCTTACTGATACAGGGCATGAAATGGGCTCTAGCTCTCTTACTGATACAGGGCAAGAAATGAGCTCTATCTCTCTTACTGATACAGGGCATGAAATGGGCTCTAGCTCTCTTACTGATACAGGGCAAGAAATGAGCTCTATCTCTCTTACTGATACAGGGCATGAAATGGGCTCTATCTCTCTTACTGATACAGGGCATGAAATGGGCTCTAGCTCTCTTACTGATACAGGGCATGAAATGGGCTCTATCTCTCTTACTGATACATGGCAAGAAATGAGCTCTATCTCTCTTACTGATACTGGGCATGAAATGGGCTCTATCACTCTTACTGATACAGGGCATGAAATGGGCGCTAGCTCTCTTATTGATCCAGGGCCTTTAAATGGGCTCTATCTCTCTTACTGATACAGGGCATGAATGGGTGCTAGCTCTCTTACTGATACAGGGCATGAAATTGGCTCTATCTCTCTTACTGATACAGGGCATGAAATGGGCTCTATCTCTCTTACTGATACAGGGCATGAAATGGGCTCTATCTCGCTTACTGATACAGGGCATGAAATGGGCTCTAGCACTTACTGATACAGGGCATGAAATGGGCTCTATCTCTCTTACTGATACAGGGCAAGAAATGGGCTCTATCTTTCTTACGATACAGCGCATGAAATGGGCTCTATCTCGCTTACTGATACAGGGCATGAAATGGGCTCTATCTCTCTTACTGATACAGAGCATGAAATGGGCTCTATCTCTCTTATTGATACAGGGCATGAAATGGGCTCTAGCTCTCTTACTGATACAGGGCAAGAAATGAGCTCTATCTCTATTACTGATACAGGGCATAAAATGGGCTCTAGCTCTCTTACTGATACAGGGCATGAAATGGGCTCTATCTCTCTTACTGATGCAGGGCATGACATTGTCTCTATCTCTCTTACTGATACAGGGCATGAAATGGGCTCTAGCACTTACTGATACAGGGCATGAAATGGGCGCTAGCTCTCTTACTGATACAGAGCTTGAAATGGGCTCTATCTCTCTTACTGATACAGGGCATGAAATGGGCTGTATCTCTCTTACTGATACAGGGCATAAAATGGGCGCTAGCTCTCTTACTGATACAGGGCATGACATGGGATCTATCTCTCTTACTGATACAGGGCATGAAATGGGCTCTAGCACTTACTGATACAGGGTATGTAATACTCTCTATCTCTCTTACTGATACAGGGCATGAAATGGGCTCTAGCACTTACTGATACAGGGCATGAAATGGGCTCTATCTCTCTTACTGATACAGGGCATGAAATGGGCGCTAGCTGTCTTACTGATACAGGGCATGAAATGGGCTCTATCTCTCTTACTGATACAGCGCATGAAATGGGCGCTAGCTCTCTTACTGATACAGGGCATGAAATGGGCACTAGCACTCTTACTGATACAGGGCATGAAATGGGCTCTAGCTCTCTTACTGATACAGGGCATGAAATGGGCTCTTTCTCTCTTACTGATACAGGGCATGAAATGGGCTCTAGCTCTCTTACTGATACAGGGCATGAAGTGGGCTCTATCTCTCTTACTGATCCAGGGCATGAAATGGGCTCTATCTCTCTTACTGATACAGGGCATGAAATGGGCTCTATTTCTCTTACTGATACAGGGCATGAAATGGGCTCTATCACTCTTACTGATACAGGGCATGAAATGGGCTCTATCTCTCTTACTGATACAGGGCAAGAAATGGGCTCTATCTCTCTTACTGATACAGGGCATACAATGGGCGCTAGCTCTCTTACTGATACAGGGCATGAAATGGGCTCTATCTCTCTTACTGATACAGGGCAAGAAATGGGCTCTATCTCTCTTACTGATACAGGGCATACAATGGGTGCTAGCTCTCTTACTGATACAGGGCATGAAATGGGATCTATATCTCTTACTGATACAGGGCATGAAATGGGATCTATCTCTCTTACTGATACAGGGCATGAAATGGGCTCTAGTTCTCTTACTGATACAGGACATGAAATGGCCTCCGGCTCTCTTACTGATACAGGGCATGAAATGGGCTCTAGCTCTCTTACTGATACAGGGCATGAAATGAGCTCTATCTCTCTTACTAATACAGGGCATTAAATGGGCTCTAGTTCTCTTACTGATACAGGACATGAAATGGCCTCCGGCTCTCTTACTGATACAGGGCATGAAATGGGCTCTAGCTCTCTTACTGATACAGGGCATGAAATGGGCTCTATCTCTCTTACTAATACAGGGCATTAAATGGGCTCTATCACTCTTACTGATACAGGGCATGAAATGGGCTCTATCTCTCTTACTGATACAGGGCATGAAATGGGCTCTAGTTCTCTTACTGATACAGGGCATACAATGGGTGCTAGCTCTCTTACTGATACAGGGCATGAAATGGGATCTATATCTCTTACTGATACAGGGCATACAATGGGTGCTAGCTCTCTTACTGATACAGGGCATGAAATGGGATCTATATCTCTTACTGATACAGGGCATGAAATGGGATCTATCTCTCTTACTGATACAGGGCATTAAATGGGCTCTAGTTCTCTTACTGATACAGGGCATACAATGGGTGCTAGCTCTCTTACTGATACAGGGCATGAAATGGGATCTATATCTCTTACTGATACAGGGCATGAAATGGGATCTATCTCTCTTACTGATACAGGGCATGAAATGGGCTCTAGTTCTCTTACTGATACAGGACATGAAATGGCCTCCGGCTCTCTTACTGATACAGGGCATGAAATGGGCTCTAGCTCTCTTACTGATACAGGGCATGAAATGGGCTCTATCTCTCTTACTAATACAGGGCATTAAATGGGCTCTATCACTCTTACTGATACAGGGCATGAAATGGGCTCTATCTCTCTTACTGATACAGGGCATGAAATGGGCTCTAGCTCTCTTACTGATACAGGGCATGAAGTGGGCTCTATCTCTCTTACTGATCCAGGGCATGAAATGGGCTCTACCTCTCTTACTGATACAGAGCTTGAAATGGGCTCTATCTTTGTTACTGATACAGGGCATGAAATGGGCTCTATCTCTCTTACTGATACAGGGCATGAAATGGGTGCTAGCTCTCTTACTGATACAGGGCATGAAATGGGCTCTAGCACTCTTACTGATACAGGGCATGAAATAGGCTCTCTCTTACTGATACAGGGCATGAAATGTGCTCTAGCTCTCTTACTGATACAGGGCATGAAGTGGGCTCTATCTCTCTTACTGATACAGGGTATTGAATGGGCTCTCTCTCTCATATTTATAAAACCAAGAAATTACAAATGTTTTTTTTCCCAGTAAAACATGATTTCATTTTTAACAATGTATTAAAATTAAATAATAAAAATATTTTATCATTAATAAATTATGTATGCCATTGTTAGCAAGCTGTAAAAACAACCTTCAGTAATTAATCGGCCTGCCGCTTCACATCCCCCAGCCTGCCATGAATCCCAGGTCTTTGTATCGCATTCTCGGCTTGCAGCTAAACTTTTTGCTCTCATATGGTTCCAATCTTGCAGCAATTTTCTTTTGGCTAGTAAATCCACATGGGAACAACATTAGCCACAGGCCTGTTTGCAGACTGACAAAGCTGGTAGGGCTAGCATTGCATGGGGAAGCTTAATTTTCAAGTTTTTCACAATTAACTTTGAAGATTCTGGGAAAATTAAAGAGTAAATTATGCTCCCAATTAGGAGGGGGTGTAAAGGAGATTTCAGACAAGATCGTTTATAAAAACTAATTAAAATCTTTAATTGAGGCAAGTAAAGCATCTCTGATTTAGCCCATTCTTTTAATATCTTCCAAGCTAACTCTGACTATCAAACCCACCTTTATTCTATATAAAGAGGATTTACCATCAATAAATGTAATCACTTTAATTAGATATATTAAGCTAGCTCCGGAATATTTCAAACAATATCTGCATCCGACTTGGATTGCCCATTGAGCTGTGCATGGAGTCACGTGCTACCGTTTTGCCTGTGGCTTATTCCCATAATGCAGCGCAGCCACAGCCATTGCATTCTGGGATAGAACCATGAGTATGTTGAGATTACGGATATGTTATCACATATCATTCTAATTTAACATAGTAGCAGTAATACTAGTTTAGACTTCTGTAATAACCACACAGAGGGACAAATTTAAATTCTGGCAAAAAAAATAAAAAATTCTCTTTATTTGACGGCATCTTGGGTTTAAATTGCAGAGATTTCCCTGTGTAGGTGCAAAGTGATCTGATGTTTGTACCTGTGTCAGGGAATGTGAGAATTTGCACATTGATTCCCCAGTATGTTTGGATTGGAGATTGGGAATAATTGATAAACTGTGACCTGCATTTGGGACAGAAAACATTCTATTTTCTACTTTGTTCACTCCATTCTATAAACCCAGTTATTCGATGTTTCTATACAGTTTACGTACAGTGTTACACACGGTGGTAATCATAGATATTTTGCATTGATGCTCCATGTTATCACTGTATGCGTACTGTCTCTAGGTTATCAAACAAGGCCAATACAGAATTTTTCAAAATAAGCCAGTAATTTAGTAGAATTATTTAAATTTATTTGAATTCATTTGCATTTCTTGAATACTTTGGTTCTAATTTGTACACATTCCATGTTATTGAATTATACATTCTTATATATGTAATATTTTATTGCCTCTTGATAACGCATCATATCCATTTTTCACTTGAGTTTTTACAAACTTTCTATTCAACATTCAGCCCTTGTTAAACATAGGAAATACTAGTCTGTGATAATAATTTACTCTAACCGCAGCAAATCCCACACAGGAGATTAATATAAAACTATTTTGTAACTATTGTGTTATTTGTCATCTAATTGCAAGTTGTTATTATGCTTAACTCGTTGTGTTAATTCGCATTAATGCGATTTTGTTTTATAAATTTCTGAAAAAAAATAAATTATAATTGTTCAGCTAAAATGTTATCCACCTTTTACCCTTTAAAACTGTACCGTGAAAACGTGATGAAAAATCATATGAAAAATGTAACTTTTAAAAGAGTATTTCTAATGTTAAATCAGTCAATGTGATCAAATATATATGTTTTGTGTGCATTTTTGCAGAGTTAAGAAATTTACAATTAACTAGTAGATTAGCAAATTATTCTAAACGCAAAAATAAAATGGAATTTGTTACGGTATATTTTTGCACAATATTAGCATAGCGCATGCAGATTATATCTTTTGGGGTAAATGGGAGAATTTATCACACTGGCCAACTATACGCAAGTCATTGGAATGGTAAGTGATGGGTGGTAAGTGGTCACAAGTGGTTTATAGACACAATAAAAGCACTGCTCGGGGATCCACATTTTCACACATCTAGTTCACAGATCAAGTGACAAAAAGTGACAAATGGAATTAAAATCTATATTTATTATATATGTTTATTAAATATATAATATATATTGTTTTATTACTGCTCCTGTTTTTTTCCCTCACTTTTCCCTTTATCTGTGAACTTGAAATAAAATCAACATTTCGTGTCAGTCCCCTAGCCATCATCATCACTTTATTTTGCGCTATGGATATAACTCTGAATCACGAATGAAAGTACTAGCTAGTACTTTGTGCGAGTCGTTTGTTCGGTAATACGTCCATATAATGCTATGAATGACCCACTGATTGGCCTAATTTGGGCTAATTTAAAATTGGCCAAAAACAAATGCACAAGTCTAATAATTGGTAGTCCAGTTACAGAGTGAGTGGAGTCCACAATAAACACTGTTAATCCAGCACTCACTAATCAGCGCAAGTTGGGGAACTGGAGGCTGTACTCGGACTCATTACGTGAGTGTCAGGACCACAAAGGAGTGTTTACTGCGATCTGCATGGACTACCAGGGATTAATTATTAAGCAATGCTAAACCATCGGAATGATTACAATGGGATTTCATTTTTATTTAATACTTTTCTGAATTGTTACAATAAAATGAATTTAATTTTTTTCAATGGGTTACATGAGGGGGCTGGGCAATGTGTATAGCCCCCCTATTGCACTATTTGAAATACATTCATTTTAAAATACTCTGTGCTTTTCATCTAGTACCTCAATGTCTGGCCACTTACAAACTGTTATTGAAATGAGAGGGATGTACAAGAATAAATATTTTTCTGCTGGTTATGTCCGCACATTTTCTCAAAGCAAGACACAAGCACAAGGCACAAGTTCGGAGTTACATTCTAGTAAAGTAAAAATACATACATATTTATTGATCACATGCCAATATATTGGTCACTATTATAGTCAATACATTGTTAAACTGCACACCAGTCAAGCCATAAGACTTGCATTTCCTACAGAAATCGCATGTTTGCAGTGATGTTACTACTGCAAGGGATTCTGGGTGGGCATATGCAAATGAGTTCAACAAAGTATCACCTTTCTGCCTCATTCCATTTTAAACATGGATTCCTTGGAGTTTGTGTTTGCTGTATACAATAGCTTTGAAACACAACTCAGGAGGAGATGCAAAGCCAGTAAACGACTCATGGACAGTGGTTTCGTTGTTAATGCAACTCCTAAATTCTTTTTGGAGAGCTGCCCATTTGGAACCAGGAAAGTTGTCAAAATGTAGAAAAACTGCCTAGCATCTTACAGTGGCAGACAGGTGGCTGCAATGGTTATGATGCATAGACTATTTTTTTTTTTTTTATTTCCCACCAGCTTGTACAATTGCCATGGAGAAATGTACCCATGTATATCAGATCGCTACCAAACACTGGGAAAGTTAACTAACCAAAATACACTTTCCTGCAAACGGCGCATTTTGCTACATTACGATCTATCGTACATGATATCTATATAGGGATCCACCTCTGAACAAGTCATCTTTTTCTGCATTTTTAGTTATTTTATGTTATCTCTCTACACTAGGTTTTAAATTTGATATTTTTCCTTGCACCCAAACTATTCTGAACCCTCAAAGTTTGTGAGAGCATCTGATCCATGATGTCATCTTTTGGGGTCCCTGAATGCCAATCTATACCCAGAATTCCTGTTCTTTTTATTTAATGTGCTATATAGTATTGATCCATCCGTTTTTGGCTTTACTTAAC